CTTGTAGTCCTGGCCAATTAACCCATTCCATTCATGAATCATTGCCGATCAGAAGAACGACAGTGAAGTCCATGTCCTGTCCTCCCATTCTTATATATTTATGAAGGAGAAGAAATTATTAAGCCCTTTGCAGTTTGAACAACTCTACTCTCCCTTTGACTTGTAGTTGCAACCTGGCAGGAACACTTTAAATCTTATGTCTTTTCTGTTTCTTTTTCATTTTCAATTCCAATTAATACAACTCAGCAATACCATTACCACCAACAAGTCTACAGAATTATACATTTCAATCTCTCTCACCAAGAAGGAGGAGGAGGAGAAGAAAGCTGTCCTCTTCTTGGCAGTGTAAGAAAGCGCATGCTTCAAATTATTTGGATGGATGGAATGGAATCTTTTCTGGGTTTTCCATGGATGTTGCCCTGTAAAGTTTTCATCTTTCACCTGCTCAACTAAATTCAGATCAAGGGTATCTCTTACTTTTGTCGTGTTTTCTTTTCATTTTAATTTTACGAGTATCAAAAGCTTTGACCTCGAACCTTGGTAGTGGAGACCCAGATCAATTTTTGTTTTCAAATAGTCATCTTCTGGGCTCTCCATTAAATTGTAAAGTTTCAAGCTTTGGCTAGTGGTGTTTCCACTCCTGTACATATTCTTCGCTGATCAAGTTTCTCTCGTTATTTGTATTGATTTCTAGAATTTCCATTGCTGCCACTCTATTCTTATTTGATTTGACAATTGAAATCTTGTGCCATTTTGTTATTGGAAGGAAGCTTCTGGTGTGTGATTCTGTTTCTACTGCTCATAATATTTTGGATGTCACGTGGACTCGGTCTTTCTGCCACTCATCTTACTTTGTTTGTAGCCGTAGCACATTATCTATGAATGGAAAATTCAGCATTTTCAATTCTCTTTGAAATCTCTCCTCACGTTTTGAATCGATTTCTAATATCTAATACGTGTCTTAAAGTACTCAAACTGGTGCTCAATTGAATTCTCTCATCTTGCAGTGAGGCACATTTCGAATCATCCATCTATCTGATATTATTTCCCGACGTTCTTTTTGGAAATATCCTGCTAAATTCACGCCTCTTGATCTATGTTAGTGTGATTAGGCTTTAGGAACCAATGTCAATCTCATGTGGAGGACCTCTGCTTGAGGGTGTGTATTGTCTAGCTTGTGCTCGTTGGGCGTGGAAACGATGTCTTCACACTGCAGGTCATGACAGTGAAACTTGGGGACTTGCAACTGCTGAAGAATTTGAGCCGGTTCCTCGCCTTTGCCGCTATATACTAGCTGTTTATGAAGATGATCCTCAACACCCTCTCTGGGAACCTCCTGGAGGGTACGGAATAAACCCAGATTGGTTAATCCTAAGAAGAACGTATGAAGATAATCATGGAAGGGCGCCACCATATATACTGTATCTTGATCATGACCATGCTGATATAGTTCTAGCCATTAAGGGCCTTAAGTTTTCAAAGGAGAGTGACTATGCTGTACTTTTGGATAATAAGCTAGGGAAAAGGAAAATTGATGGTGGGTACGTCCACAATGGGCTATTGAAGGCTGCTGGTTGGTTTTTGGATGTGGAGTGTGACATTTTGAAGGAATTAGTGGAGAAGTATCCGAATTACACACTGACTTTTACAGGTCATTCTCTAGGGTCTGGTGTAGCAGCAATGCTGACACTATTGGTAGTGCTACGCCGTGATAAATTGGGAAACATTGACAGAAGGAGGATCAGATGCTACGCGGTTGCACCTGCAAGATGTATGTCACTTAATTTGGCTATCAGATATGCAGATGTTATCAATTCTGTAGTGCTTCAGGCAAGTTTTTATCCATTTCATATTCATGGAAAACAATCTGAAGATATGCATCTAAAGAAACCTTAACAAAATTTGCCCTCCTTTTGCATTGCCAATACCCTTCATTATCAATCTGTGATATTACAGTGCACCTTTCTTTCTATGAAAATGTTCTCTTTGCTATAGCTTCTTATTATTTCATATTTGATCAATATGAAAAATGTTATTCACAGGGAAACCCCAGTATTGGTGCCCCTTGATTTGAAGCTTTTATTTCCTTGTTTTTGGTGAGAGAATAAAATATTTAATAGGTGGCAAGGCCATTTGATCAATATGAAAAATGTTATTCACAGGGAAACCCCAGTATTGGTGCCCCTTGATTTGAAGCTTTTATTTACTTGTTTTTGGTAAGAGAATAAAATATTTAATAGGTGGCAAGGCCATGAACTGCTACTGCAAAATGACTTGAGTTTGATTGCAATGAAGGGGTTGAAATATTTCATTCACATAATATTTTTTTGCGTTAAAAACTTTAAGTCTATCCATGACTTACTGTTTGGAGAGCATTGTTACTCATGGATATACTTGCCTCTGTTTGTCAAGGGTATTTTATCTGAAGAACCACTGATGAAGTTGCTAAATGTCGTGAATTATTTCACTGAACCAGGATGATTTCTTACCACGGATAGCCACGCCTTTGGAAGACATTTTCAAGTATCTTTTCTGGTACAGATCATGTTTTTCAATTACATTTTGTTTCATTAAAGTTTTTGCTTATCTTCTTGAAAAGCTAGACCATATCTGCGCCAAACACTTGCAATGCTCTCTATTTCCTCTGTAATGTTTGATTGTGGTTTTACAGGACTGAATTAACTAATGGAAGTTTAACAAAAGGGAGGCTTGTAGAACTAAGTGCTTGAACTTATATTAGCAAAAGGCAATTGTTATCTAAGAATGTAGTTAGGTGATGGCATTGATTATTTGATGGTCTAAAGACTATGAAACTTCCCCTTTCCTTTCTCTTATTTTTAATCGTGTAATATCCAATATTATTCCAACTCACTGATTCTGCTAGTTTTCTTTTTCTTCAACAGTTTGCCCTGCCTACTATGTTTGAGGTGCATGAGGGATACATGTATACTGGATGAGAAAGTGATCAAAGACCCAAGGAGACTGTATGCACCTGGTCGCCTCTATCACATTGTTGAAAGAAAGACTTGCAGGTATTACTTACATCGTGTGCAGTGTTCATGTGCTTTGTTGCATTGACCAGTTTTTAGATCCAGTAGATATTAACATCTTTGAGTTTTTGACAATGGTTGCAGATTGGGAAGATTCCCCCCAGTTGTGAGGACAGCAGTGCCAGTAGATGGGCGTTTTGAGCATATAGTTCTTTCTTGTAATGCTACTTCTGATCATTCAATCATTTGGATAGAAAGGGAAGCCCAGAGGGCTCTGGATGTAAGTTTTCAATTTCTTGGTGTTAAAATTATCCTTTTCTGGTTCATGCCAAGTTTTCAAGGCAGTTGTTGTTGTTGTTGTTTTATTTTGCTTGCATGTTGGTTGTTGAGAGGGTCTATTTGCTGGTCTGAAAGTGGCAAACTTTTGTTAGTCAGAAACAAGATGCCAAAATCCTGGACTATCTAGTACACGCTTTTCTCCTCTGCAAGTTTGTTGTGAGGGTGAGGGGATGAATGCTTGGACTTCAATAGCCTATCTTCCGTAACTTGATCTTCATGTCCATATGTTGTAAGTTCAGTGATATGTAAATCTACAGCAATCAAACTGAAATGAACGAGGTTCAATCATTTGAAGTTGCACAACGGGTTTTTTTTATGATCTTTTGAATCCACTCAAGTTCTGACAAAAACTATATGGGCTTTTAATGCAATTTAGCTGATTAGCTGATTTGGCTAGAACTCAGAAGGCACAATATCTTGGTCGTGTCATTCCCGAGTGCAAACCATTGATAGCTTGAGATAAGGGATGCGAGTTGGTATGGGTATTTTCTTGTTGCTATTTAGATGAGTTTCAGCCGCACCATGTTCTTTTAAGTTTGTTTTAAAGAAATTGCTTTCATCTTAACTTTGGCATCCTGCTCTCCTTGGTCACTCAGGTAATGGTAGAGAAAGATGATATCATGGAGATCCCAGCAAAGCAAAGGATGGAACGACAGGAGACTTTGGCCCGAGAACATAGAGAGGAGTACAGGGCTGCGCTACAAAGAGCTGTTACACTCGCAGTTCCCCATGCCTATTCATCTTCCAAGTATGGAACTTTCAATGAGGTGGCGGATTCGCACAGATGGAGTGGGGAATCTTCTTTTGGCTCTTCGAAGACGAGAGCTGGGATGAGTTGATTGAACGCCTTTTAGACAAAGATGAATCTGGTCACATGGTTATCAAGAAATCACAAAGGGATGATTGATCCTTATTCTCAACTTGGAAAAAAAAATGTGTAGATTGAAAAGGAAAATTTATTTATGAGAATTTGTTTTTTTATTTTTGAATTAATTATTTTAGTATCATTTTAATTACTAGAATTAAAGTGATATTTTATAATATGAATATCTTTGTAAATCTTCTAAAGTCAATGCAGAGAATTAAAATGGAAAAAGAGAAAAAGATTTTTTTTTTAATAATAAAAACTTATAATTTCATATAAATTATGTTTTTTTATATATGATTAGAAAAAATAATAATTTTTTTTAATAATTTTTTTAATAAATTAGATTAGATTTATTTATTATGAACCGACCAGGTCTAACTAAAATAGTTGAGGATATGTTTGTGAAAAGAGACATACTAAGATGATGATGCACTTCGGATTAGGTATTAATTATTGTAAGACAATAATGGTTCTCCAAAGACAATAAGGAATCTGATTTCATTTGTACTAGAAAAATTCTATAGTTTAAGAGATTTTTAGCTACTGGTACACCAGAAAAGGGGCAAAGATTTTATAATGCAGCAACCACGGATGAAAATTGTTCGAGCTGAGCTGCTCTCATAGAATGCCAAAAGAACCCTGTATATATGGTTGGTTCCCCTGATTACTATGGGACTGCAGGAAGAGTTGTAATGCAAGCTGAAAGGCAAGCTCGAACCTTTCTTGTTCATTACCTTGGAGCTAATATTTTGTAGTTTCTGCTGACAAATCTTCAGCAGTTCTGAAAAGGATATTTTTAGGATAAAATATAGTAGAATCATTGATTAATTCAATCAAGAAATTCTTCATAGCTAGTCTCTACAGTGAAGAGTTCTTCAGTCTCCAAAACTCAACGGAGCTCGTATCGTCTTGTGGACCTCGTAAGTTATGACCTATCTGACTCTGCAATGAATTGTATAACTCTGCTGTGGATGGGCAGTGGCTGTTTAAAATTTAAATGGCCTGCATGAGATGCCGGTTCTTACATTCATCATTGCAGAGACTGATAGACAGCAAAGAAATTCCAAGATTTTAGAAGATATGCCCAAAATGCGGTTAAAAGAAAATGGAGGCGTGGAGCAAGAGGGTCACCGTGAAAATCCAAGAAGAAGCTTCTCCTTTTAAACCAGAAAGATCTGAAATTGCTCAAGCTGACTTTGTTCGGGATTCCGGAGATGAAATAGGAGGAGGAGGAGGAGGGTTGTTGAAAGAAGAAGAAGAAGACTTGAAGGCCTCATTCTGTGAGTGACACTCGAGTGAACCCCCTTTACTTTGTTCAACGCCTCCACATCACACGGCGATATCACCTCCTTCACACGGCAATAAACTTCTTCCTTCCAATCCTCCCTCCCTCTCTCCGTGTTCTTTTCCTTGGAAAAAAGAAAAAGAAAAAAACAGAGAGGAGGAATAACACGTGGCATTAAACTTATCTTTTAAGAAAAGAAGTTCAATGTAGGGATACAAAACGCAGCGTTTAATCAAATTGAATTGTGCGCTACGTACGGCTCTTTCTTTCTAGGGGAGGGGATGAGAGGAGCGGCAGTGAAAGAAAAATCAAAATTTGAAAAAAGAAATACAGAAAAGAAACAGCAGAGCCCTTCCTTCTTTCAACGTCTCACTTTCCTTCTTTCCTTTTTTTTTTATTATTATCAAATTAATTACTACAAAATATCTACCATTTCAATCTCTCTCTATCTCTATCTACTAATTCAAACACACACTCTCTCCCTCCCTCCCTCTCTCTCTCTCAATCAACCAGGTAAAGAAGAAGAAGAAGAAGAAGAAGAAGAAGAAGAGTAAAGATGATTGGCGTAGCAAGAAAGCAAAACCTCAACCTCAACCCCAAGGTTCGCGTCATTGCCAAAATCAGAGGTTCCTCACATCTTGACGGTCTTTCAACTTCTTGGATTTCCGTTCACAATAACATACGTGACGGAATTTTTTCTCACTCTCTCACTTTTTCTCTTGGAGACCGACCAGTTGCTGCCAGGTTATTAATTATTTTGTCTTTTTTCTAATTAATTTTTGTGTTAGGTTAGTAGCATTTGTGCTCTGTTTGGCTTTTTAGGTTGGATGGAAAACTCTAGATTAGGTATTCATGTGTTTTTTTATTGATTTTCTGTTATTGTTGTTGTTGTTGTTGTAGTGGAGGGGGTAGTAGTAGGAAGGAGGCTTATGTGGTGGATTATTGCTACGAGCAAAACGAGAAAAATGATTTGGTTTTTGAAAGAGAAGTTAAGCCTTTTATTAATGAAGTTTTTGATGGCCGTAATGCCACGATTATTGCTTGTGGAGCAAGGGGCACTGGAAAATCCTACCTCTTTCAGGTCTTTTTCCTCATTTATTTTATTACTATCATCAATTTTTTATTTATTTGCTGACATGTAAGAGTGAGAGGTGTTGTTTGATTTTTTCAAGGGTACGGATGATGAACCGGGTCTGACAGTGTTGGCTGTGGATGAAATGCTTCGATTGGCTGCGGATAAGGGGAAGTCCATTGCCGTTTCCTTTTATGAGGTTGATCAAGATCATCATGTCAAAGACTTGTTGGATCCCAATCGACAACAAGTTTTTGTATTGAAGGATGCTCATGGAAAAACACAATTAAAAGGACTTTCTCAGGTGTGATGATGTTTATATAGTATTTATGGTTTGATTTTGGTCTGAGATACTATTGATGATGGTTTCTGTGTTGCAATTGAATTGTTGTTTTATTTGTTTTCGATGTCTTTTGTTTCAGGTTCCGGTGACATCCGTGTATCAATTTCACAATTTCTATGGTGGTGGGACTAATCCACGTAAATCTATTCAGAAAGCAGTGACTGAACTTCCCAAGAGAAGTCATAAAGGGTTGATAGTATATGTATCGTCTCATGGTGGAGAAAAGTTGGACGTTTCTGTCAGCAAATTGAATTTTGTTGACTTGGCAGGTTAAAACCAAACTCTTTTTGTATACATTTTCATTTTTTTATTTGGTTTTTTTGTTAGATTCTAAATCCTTGGTTGTCATCTTCGTCATTTTTGTTGTGTTTATTAGGTTATCAGGATGCTAGAAGGAAGAGTATTGATGGACATAGTTTGGTTGAGAGTACAAGGAATATTAATAAGTCCATTCATGCCATTCATAATGTTGTTTACTCTTTGAAAGCAAATGAAACTCATGTGCCATACCGGGAAAGTAAGATCACTACCATGTTGCAAGATTCACTAGGAGGGGCTGGCAGAATTTTGATGGTCACTTGCTTAGTGAGTTTTGGCTTGTTCAATTTCATGAGTTTTTTAAGTCATAGTTTTTGTTTTCAGTTGTTCTATTTCTCACCCCTGAATGCAGAACCCATCTTTTTGCCAAGAATCTATTTACATGGTGAAATTAGCATCTCGTTCTTGTCAAGGAACTAGTTGGGCTTTCACAGACTCCACAAAGAAAGCCAACAGCTCAGCAAGACCAATGTTGCCTTCTTCACATAATAGCCGGATGCTTGGTAGTGTTTCCATTTCTGTGAAGAAAAAAACTGTCTCTCGAGGGCACATTTCTGGAAAAAAAGCACACTGTTCAACTTCCACACTGAAAGCTAGGTATTTTCTATCATACCTTGTCAAATGAAATTACAAGGCATTTTGTTCTCCAACCGTTTCCAATTGATTTTTTTTTTCTACTTGAAGGAAACTGTTTGATGAGTCAAGTGATTTGATATCTCAGAAGGTACTTGGTTTCTTACTACTTTGTTCCTAGTATCCACGAAACAGTTTTCTTACTACTTCAAGAAAAAGAAGAAGACCCAATGATAACAGAAACAAAACAAAATCATACATACAAGTAAAATCTTTAGGTAATTGAAAGAAAACACCTAGGCTAATCTATTTAGTTCATGTATTAGGTCGTGGGAGTTTGTTTTTGAAAAGTGTTTATGCCATGGGAAGAAGACATACATTTCCTTAAGCTGTTGTTGTAAAGCTAAAATGAATGGCTATGTTACATAAGAAATAAACAATGTTTCAATAGTCAGTGCAGGACTCTGTAGGGTATTACTAGGTTTACCTAGAATAGAATAATCTTCTGAGTTCGTGTATTAGGATGTGAGACTTTGTTTGGAAAAGTGCTTGTATGAGGGGAAGTAAATTTACATCCCTGGAGCACTTGTTGCATAGCTAAAATGAATGAATGATCTGTTATACAAGAAATTAAATACGGTTCTGTTATGATAAGCCTCTCTAGATTACTGTGCAGCCAAGTTCCTCAAACAATGTTCCAACAGTTGAATCTGTTATGCATGAAGAGGTGTGGTTTATCTAGATTTTCCTTGTTATCTATCAAAGGAATGCATTTGGTCATGACATTTGTTGATAAAGCTTCATTTTGTACAGGACCAGCTCACTTCAAATGTTGCCAAAGAAGCATCATCTTTGGTAATACTAATGTTTTACCCCAACTGCTTTTAGTTATCTTCACGTCTTTTTTAGATTATAATATCTTGCAAATGTCTGAGCGATTAATAGCTGATGCAGGAAGCTGTATCATTGCTCGCTCATGAGGATTCAAACTCTGTTTCTGTGGTGGGTACAGGCCATGAACATCAAATTTTTACAGTTAATGTTGTTTAGAAAAAATACAGATCAAAAAGTTTCATTACCTTCTCAGGATGTTTCTCCTGTAGCAGCAGTTTCTAGTACTTGTGAAACTACAATACTTGATAAGGTAAATAGCTGCTTACTTGATGAACCTCAATCTTTTCTGTAAAATTAACAGTTAGTTTTACAGTTAATGTTGTTTATAAAAAAATACAAATCTAAAAGTTTCAATACCTTCTCAGGAAGTTTCTCCTGTAGCAGCAGTTTCTAGTACTTGTGAAACTACAATACTTGATAAGGTAATTAGCTACTTATTTGATGAGCCCTAATCTTTGCTGTAAAATTAACTGTTAGTCTTACAGTTGATGTTGTTTAGAAAAAAATACAAATCTAAAAGTTTCAATTCAATACCTTCTCGGGAAGTTTCTCCTGTAGCAGCACTTTCTATTACTAGTGAAGCTACAATACTTGATAAGGTAATTATCTACTTACTTGATGAGCCCTAATCTTTGTTGTTTATAATGTTTAGAAAATTACAAATATAATTCCAATTCTTTCTCAGGAATCTTCTCCACTAGCTATTTCCAGTACTTGTGAAATTACAGTACTTGATAAGGTAATTAGCTACTTTCTTGATGAGCCTTAGACATGGAAAAAACCACAATTGTTTATGGTTCCTTGTTTGTGACCTAGATGCCTTTTAAAACTCCTAGTTAATAATAGATCTTTCATGTATGTTATGATCTACTCATGCAGACTGACGAGCACCAAAACAGAACTGTGCTTTACACTGGAGAGTTATCTATGTTTGATGAAGGTATAAAATAAAATACGCAATACTAATGATTTAATAGACAATAATGCCGTTCTCTTGTGTAATCTTCTTATTTTACCAGGTAAAAAAATAGACAAGGAAAACAACAGTTCAATTGTCAATCAAGGTGGATCGCCACCCATTAGCGCACAATTGCAAGAACTATCAAACAGTTTGAAGTTACTATGTTCCTCAACCCCATCGTGCATAGATATAACACCAAAAAATGATGCATTTCACAATCAAACTTCAACTGATATCGGGCAACCAACAACTCCCAGCTCAAGTATGAGAGTAACTAATAGGGAAATTACAAGCTTTTGTAGTCCATGGGAAAAATTCAATGCCCGCAGCACTGGGATGAAGGTTAAATCTACATTATCTTTCCTTTATCTCCTCTTTTCAAATGCTTATCTGCAATTGCTAACATCAACCTTTTGTTCTGTTGTAGAACTCACTTGTTCAAGATTATCTTAGATTGTTGAACACAGCTGACAAGTAAGTACACTGTCAATTTTGATTATGCTTCTTGTATACTTTTAATTCTTGTTGCTTCTGATTAGGTACTTAAACTATAATCTGACTTCTATTTTGATAGAAATTTCACAATATATACATATTGTGAAAGCTGCCAAGCTGTTTCTATATTGTGACATAACACTTGCAGCTTCCATTACTGAGATTTTACAGTAACTATTCATAGTTGATTATGCAACATTAGTACCTGTGTATTACTGTTTTCTATCTTCACTTGACAAACTAAACTTGGTACTCTATTCTTTGTCAACAGGGAAGAATTGAGGAAATTGAAGGTGATTAGCGTTTCTAATTTTGTAAATATCAATGTGTGCTGTCTTATTGCTGGCATGTGATATGAATTAGAGTGATGCTTCATGCAGGGTATTGGAGAAAAGAGAGCTACTTACATCCTTGAACTTCGAGAAGAGTGTCCAGAGCCTTTCAAGAATGTAAGCATTTTTGGAAAAGCTTTTTACATGGT